TTTAAGCATGAGAGAGATATCATGTCGTTGGTAATGAACCCCCAAAGGGATTAAACCATTAAGCACAACAACCTCAATCTCAAGCTTAAATAAACATCTAGTTTGAAACAACTTTTAAAACAAAGAAAAAGCCAAGAAAAGAGGAAGGTTGCAGAGGTGATTAGAGATGAATACAAGTATGGAAAACAAGAAACAAACACTATCAACTCAAATAGGTTGGTGCCTAATGCCTAAAACACCAAGCCTATAAGGACTATTACACTACAAGCATACTATACAAAGCTCAAATGCAATGAACAACTAAAAAAGTCCTAAAACAGTCCTAAAATAGTCCAAAAAAGTGCTGGAATTAAGACAAAAATAACTACAACAACTAACTAAAATATTGAAGAATTAAAACTAGCACACAAGCACAAAGAGGGGAGGCTAACCCCTCCACTTTGGGACTTCAAAACATGATTTTTGCCTCTGAAAAACCTCTGAAAATCAGTGGTAAAAATCTCAAAAAGTGTTGATGAGAGGGTAGGAAACACAAGGGCAAAGGCCTTAGAAGCAAGGTTCAAAGAAGGGTTCTCAACCCCTCTACCTTTAATGGCCTTAAACTACAAGTTTCAGCTCAAAAAGACAGGTAATAAATAACTCAAAAATAGCAAGAAAATATAGAAAACAAGTAGTATAAAGATGGTACAAAAGGACTAGAAGGTATACCTCTTGAAGAGGAATGTTTCTTTGAGTTACAAACTACTAATTTCACACTCTCAAGTTCCTTAAGAACTCAAATTCAAGCTCAAATCACCTCAGCAAGAAGCTCTCTAGGTTTGGTTTAGAGTGTTTGAGCAAAGGCTATGCAAGTTGCAAGAGAGAGAAAGGAATTTCCAAAATTTGCTCTTCAAAAATGTTTTCTCATTCCTAAATTTTTCTAACCTTGAAAGCAAGAGGGGAGGTCCTCCATATATAGAAAAAACCATGTGTCTATCTCGAAAATATCTGACATATAGTTGAAATGGTGCATGCACATGGGGGGACAACAGGCAGAAAATATCTGAAAAAACACACAAGTGGTCGGCAGTCCACACTAGTGGGTCTGCAAGTCACAGGATGTTTAGGCTTGAAAAATTGTTGTTCTAGTCCAAGAACAAGGCAAGAGGTTCATAGGGTTTTGAGGCTCAAAGCTGAGGCATTCTGTTGAGGATTTCGAGCATTTGACAAGCGTACACATTCATCATTGAGTGTGCAATTGGTGGCGCCCAAGTCTTAAGGGTAGTAAAAAATGGGGTGTCTACAGATAGTAATCCAACTCTTTGGATTTGGTTTGAAGAGATGTCATAAGCACTTTCGAAGGACGACTTTGATCCTTTAGTAACATATGTGACTTTCAAATTGTGGTTTTGTCATTAATAAACACCTTTGAAATGTAACATAGGACGAGAAAGCTTTCGAAATATGTACATCTTTTCAAATATATGTAAAATGGCAACTAATTAATTGTCAAATAATGCCTATTTTTGGTATGATAATTAGTGGTTTTACTGATAAACATTTTTATAGCTATTTGTTACATGAAAATGTAACTAGTATTCTACAAAAGTTGGTTCGAAGAACAACAGTTTTGGTGTCTTTGGAGAATTAATAATTGGTTCGAAGCATAAAATTAATATTTTCATTAATTATGTGTGAACCAGAACATACAAAATTTGAATAACCACAATATTGGTCAAAAGTTGCTTCGAAAGCCCTTTTGTCATAATTTTGTAAGCTTTGAAGCACTTCATCTTGCATCAACAATAGTTTCGAAGAGACAATATTGGTGGTTATGAACCTTCGAAGCTTTGCCGAGTATTTCCAAGGATGTAATTCGTCCTTTGTCGACACCTTCGACCTTCGAAGGATGATTTTGGTCCTCTATACCACCTTCGAAGCTCGTTATTTAGCATGTGTAACAACTTACTAAGGTGGATCATTGGTTTTGCCTTGAAAATATGAGGTTATCCTTCAAAGCTTTTCCGCAAGACCTTCGAATGATGAATTTGGTCATTTATAAACACTTAAACCATAAAAGGGTGATTTTTGGTCCTTTATACCACATTCGAAGCTTGTTATTCAGCATGTATAATAGCTTGTTAAGGTGAATCATCGGCTTTGCCTTAAAAATAGAAGGTTCTGAATGATTTTAAGTGCAAGCAACATCAACCTATTTCAAAAGGTTCCAAGTTTTCTAAATGTTTGAAGTACGAGTAATACAAAATTGCTTAATTTTCTTCAAAGGATTGATGCCGATTCAAAGCACATATATAATATCCCTTCAAGGTGTATATATGTAATTCGAGATATCTAATCATAATTTCATGCTCATTCGAAGCACTTTATTGGTGCTATTATATCATTCGAAGCACTTTGTTGATATTATTCGAAGTACTTTGTTGCTTAGATTAGGCATGTGCTTGATTCGGCCCTTCACAAATTCAAGTAAACATCATTTTTAAGGGCCACAGGGGGTTAATGTTGGCACCATAAATCTACAATTTTATTATTATGTATTATTTATATAATTGCAGGACATGTAGCATTCTTCTACTCATTTGGAGGTTATGAGAAATTATGAAATGTGGAAAGATGATGGAAAACAAAGTGGAGAACATAGAGCATGAAGCGGATGTTGAAGGAAGTTATGAAAGATCATGGAGTATGAAATGGAGGAGATGGAAGAATAAGGTAGTTATTAAGTAGTTTTTTCCTATAAATATTTGTCTATAAATAGCCATTTATGGCTACATTATAAAGGGCCAGAACTCAAATAAAAGACAATTGATTTATATTTTTCTTGTCATTTATATTTTCTGCACTTTATTTTATGCATTTCATTTTTGAAGCATTGGAGTAGAGGTGAGTTCTCTGCACTTTATTTTATGCACTTCCTTTTCAAAGTATATGAGTAGAGATAAATTAATGATTAGTTTGATTGTTCATTCAATCATCTTTCTCTATTTCCCCTTTTTCTTCTTTTAATTTTTATTTTCTCTACACTTGGTAATTTTGAAGTCCTCTTCGTTGAGGCAAAAGAACTATCAATGCAATCGCTTGATAATTGACTTGAATTTAATCTGTAAGAATTCTTCAATCCTTGTTGACACGCTCGCATTTATGATATTTTCCTTGAAAGAAAAATAAGCCAACAGATCAACATATTTATGTAAAGATATAAATATATTTTAAAATATAAAAATATTTTAAATAGTATCATATTTTTTAGCTGAGCTAATAATTCGAATATTAAACTAATAATAACCCTCGGTTCTGATACGTAGCCCCAAATTTCCGAGCTCAAATTTTCCCTGAATCCAAAACGATGTCGTTTTGGAATTTGTTTTTTTCTTCTTTTTTCTTTCTCGCTGTTTTGAAGATAAAGAAGAAGCAGAAGCAAAAGAAGAAGAGAAGAGGGAGCAGCTGAACACATCATCATCATCAACAACAACAACATCTTCATCATCATCATCATCATCAACACATCATCAACAGCCAAAAGAGAAGAGGGAGCAGCTGAACACATCATCATCAACAACAACAACATCTTCATCATCATCATCATCATCATCAACAACAACACATCATCAACAACCAACAAATTTTTTTCCCCCTTCATCTTCAGATCTAGATCCACTAGAAAAAAAAAAAAAAAAATTCAACATCTTCATCAACACATCATCATCATCAACATCATCATCATCAACACATCATCATCAGCCAACAAATTTATTTTTATATTTTTTCCCCTTCATTTTCAGATCTAGATCCACTAGGGAAAAAAAAAAGAAAAGAAGAAGAAGATAAAAAGTAGAGTGGCGATCGGTGATACCCACCGGCGATCACCACCATCACCGTCGAAGCCATCACAGTCTCCATCTTTTCCCCTTCTTCTCTCTTCCTCTTCTTCTCTCTCGCTCTCTCTCGCCTCTTCTCTTCCCTCTATATTCAAAAGCAAGAAAAGGAAGAAAAAAAAAAAAGACAAAAAAGGTAATCTAACACAATTTCGAGCCAATTTCGAGACAAAAAAGGTAATTTAACCCGGTTTCGAGCCAATTTCGAGCCACCAAGTACTATCCTAATAACCCTTCACTCAATCATAGTGGCGTTTTAGAAAGCTGATAAAAAGCTGACTTTTTTATTTTTTTTAGCCTATTTTGTCTTTTTGTGCATAAAAAATATGAAAGGTAATCTAACCCAAAATGAATAAAAAGTTAAAAGCTAACTTTTTATTTTGTTCCCAAAACATAATTTTTTTTTTAAACCAGCAACCCAAGTTTCAAAACATTAATCACTACATGTATAAACGACAAATTACAATTTTTTAATACAAAAAATAAAGAATTAAAAAAAGATATGAAGTGTTGTGCAGAGTTTAGCACTTATGCTACGTAACTCGAAATTTTCGAGCTCGAATTTGGCCCGAATTGAAAACGACGTCGTTTCGTCGTTTTGAATTTTTTTTTTTTTTCAATAATGCAGAAGAAGAAAAATCAAAAAAGAAGAAGAAGAAGAAGGAGAAAGAAGAGAAGATGAGAGTAGCAGAGAGAGAGAGAAAAAAAACCACCCAACAAGCCATTCACCTTCCGATCTTCATCAACATCATCAACAATCATTCATCTTCATCTTCATCTTCAGATGTTCATCAACATCATCATCAACAACCATTTATCTTCAGATCCAGAAAAAAAAAAAAAAAATCAACTATTCATCAACAACAACATCTTCATCACCATAACCATCACCATCATCATCAACACATTTTCAGATCGATCTGGAAAAAAAAAACGGTTGGAAAAAAAAAAAATCAGAGGCGACGGCAGCGGCGGCGATCGGTGACTCCCGATTCCACTCTCTTCTCTTTCTCTCTCTTTCTCTTCGTCTTCCTCTTCTCTCTACTCTCTCTGTTTCAGACATAAAGAGAGAAAAAAATAATAAAAAATTGTCTAAAACGACATCATTTTAAACAATTGAAGAATTCGGAGAAGGTAGATCCGAGCTACGGTGGATTATTCCATAGTTTAGTTCCTTTCTTTCTCTCTCAACTCTGCAAAGACATTTTATCACATGGATGGCTGGAGGAGGTGACGCCATCGCTAATGTAAGCATAACCCAACAAAGAAGCGTGACAACATCGCAAGCGTCACCTGCTAACGAACACCCCCCCTCACTCTCTCTCGATCTCTTTCTCTCCACTTTCTCTCTTTTTGATTCTCTTAAAGCAAAAGAACGAAGCTTCCTCATGACACGTGTTGTATAACCCTTGAAATGAGCCTTTCATCTTTGACGCCTCTGATGATTGGATCTACATACTATATTACATAGCAACATATTTGGAAGTTTTTTTTTGTTTCGGCTGTTTTTTTTTTGCTTGCTCTCAGAACTTGTTCTCTTTTTTGATTGATTGTGGCTTGAATTCAACTGGGTTTTTAAATGGGTTTTGTGAGCTGAGCTGAGCTCTTTATGCCTCCAATTCAAGTGTGCTCAGATTTATTGCGCTCGCGAGATGAGATTGTTTATTGGATTGTGTAGTTTCTCTGTTACCTGTCTCAGGTCTTGTTTACTTTCTGTTTGTTTATATGTTTCTTAAAGCTGCTTACAAAGTCTTTTTTGGAGAATCCATCAACAACTGTTGTGGTCTTTGCACTTCTTGACCTTGAGTCAACTCTTTTTTTTTTTTTCCTTTCTCTTTTCCCCCAGTTCTGGATTAGGCCAATTTGTATAATACCCAGTTAGAATTTAGGAGCTTAGTTTCATGTTGAGAATTATTTTTTGAATTCTCGTCTATGTTGGTCTTTGATGCGAAGAATTGTTTGAGCCATACCTTCATCATAGAGTACATGACTTTCCCATGTGGAAAATCTATAGATGATACTCATTTACTGTTGATTGCGTGGTCTATCCTCTTGCTATATAATTTGTTTCTGTTGATTTGATCGATATAAACCTTAATTGGGCTACAAGAGGCGGATTCAAATTCTCAGATATTTGGTTTATGGCAAATTCGGCTGAACCATCTTCATCAATAGACTTTACTTCATCTTCCCATGTATCGAATGGAACCATTAGCTACAATATACCACCAGCCTCTGGTTCCCAGGGAGGGTCCAGTGTCGAAATCATCAGTTTAAGGAAGCTTAGCTATAATTTAGAACAACTTCTAGTTGACTCCAGCTGTGATTATAGCGACACTGAGCTTGTTGTTGAGAACATCCCAGTAGGTGTTCACAGATGTATATTGGCTGCTCGGAGTAAATTTTTCCATGAGCTTTTCAAGAAAGAAAAGAAGGCCTTTGAGAAGAAAGGGAAACCTAAGTACTGTATGAACGATTTGTTGCCTTATGGTAGGGTCGGTTGTGAGGCCTTCCTTATTTTCTTAAGCTATTTGTATACTGGAAAGCTGAAGCCTTTCCCCCCAGAGGTGTCAACTTGTGTTGACAATGTATGTGCCCATGATGCATGCAGACCTGCTATTGATTTTGCTGTGGAATTGATGTATGCATCTTCAATTTTTCAGGTTCCAGAGCTGGCTTCACTTTTTCAGGTCAGTACTTACAACTCTGTTTAGCGGCAATAATTCAACCAAATTGATATGATGATCTCTGTGCGTAAGTGCAGGACTGCATAAAAGTCAGGAAAAAATAATGACATTCTTTTGGGACATAGCGTATTTGATTGATACAGTCATGTTTTTTGTTTTAGTATCCTGGAAATGCTTTATTACTTTCGGAAGTAGTCATAATTGTGCACTGATTACTTGGAGAGAGAGAGAGAGATTTGAATGGATATTGGTGTGAGTGGTTCTTCTGCATATGATGCTGGTTATGTAGATCGTAAATCAGTATTGTGTTTGATCAATTGTCTCATCTTATAAAGGAAAAGAAAAAACTGAAAGGATTATTTGAAAAGTATTATTTATCTTGAACTACCAATTAGTTCTGTCTATATGTGATGCAAACAACAAAAATGACACCCCCCTGAGGTCTTTTGCTGAAGTGAAAAATAAGGATGGAGTATAATCAAATGCTTAATGTGTTTCTGAATTATTTTGTTTTTAATTTTGACAGAATTAAGCTCTTGTTGATATATTAATGTATATAGAATACAGCTCATGTTAATATATTAATGTATATAGAATACAGCTAAGATAGGATTTAGCTTTCAGTTAGCTTTCGGTCCCTTTTCATAATTATGTTTTGTCAAATGATGATGTTTGTAACACAGAAACTCCTATAAAATGGAGACCCTTTATATGGTTTCAGATATATAGAAATACAGAGATTTCTCTCTTTCTATCCCTCTCTCAACTTATTTTACATGGTATCAGAACCTCAAATATATAGCTTATTAATCAGAAAAATTCACATTTTCTGGTAGTTATCACTGATCAGATCCTTTTTGTTCTCAAAAATTTTCGCACTGCCTACCAAAGTGCTTGGAATCTTCTCACGATTCCAACGCCACCAACGGTGTCCTCAGATCTGCTCTAATGTGCCCTCACGCGCCACATTTGTTGCTGGTGCGTCACCCACTTCAGCCTTCGACGTCTCACGCGCCACACGCATTTCCTCAACCGCTTGAGCCGTCTTGTCCTCGTCGTCTCACGCACTACACGCCCCCACAGCCACTTGAGTCGTCTCTCACAACCCGCGCCACTCGCTTGCGCCGCTCTAGCCACTCGTGCACGTCACTTGCTGCAACTGCCTTTGCCTTCGGCTCCAGCCGGTTCAGCTCCACCCGGCTCAGCAACTTTCCCAGGCCGGTTCAGCCCTATTTTTGGACTTTTCTGGCCAGTTTTAGACCAGTTCCCCACTAATTTTGACCTTCTGAATTCACTGGTACCCTCAGTTTTTTCAGCTTCTATCTCGATCGTGTTGTTTTTCCTTCATGGATCGCCCAGACTCCTCTAACCACCCTATTAAGGTTGTTCTTGACAGGACTAATTATGTCTTATGGGCATAAGCCATGTCTAGTTTCCTCAAAGGCAAGAAACTTTGGCGCATCATCACTGGAGATGTGTGCAAACCTATCCAAGAGACTGTGGAATCCCCTGACAAATATGTCGACTGCTTGGAGGATTGGGACAGTAAAAACTATCAGATCATCACTTGGCTTTTCAATACTTCTGCTACATCTATCAGCCTTCAGTTTGGTCGGTTCCAACTTGACTCTGTTTCCACTCCGACAAAAGCCATCTGGGATTTTTTAAAAGAACGCTATCAGACTACTGGCCTTGCTCACCAATATCAGCTTCTGAGTCATTTTCACCGTATACGCGAAGACACAACTCAGACTATTAATGATTTCCTCTCCCAAATGTATTCTGTTTGGGATCAGCTCGCTCTTTCTGAACCTCCATGGCCCCATACTAAGGATGCTGCCTTGTTTACTACTTACTGTGACCAACAGCGCTTGGTTCAGTTTCTAATGGCTCTCACTCCCCATTTTGAGCCAGTATGCGCATCTCTCCTTCATCGCACTCCTTTACCCACTCTTGAGCAAGCAATTTTTGAACTACTTTCTGAGGAAACCAGGTTTGGTACTCTCCATTCACACCCTGTGGACTCTGTTCTTGTTACTCCCCAAATTCGGAGTTCTCCTTCACCACCTTCACCACAAAGGTCAACTGCCTGCAACTATTGTCAAAACTGCGGTCTCCTGTTGACTCATCTCCTGGTTAATTGTCCAATTTGCCTTTGTTGGTTTTGCAACAAGACTGGCCCTGGTCATCTCCAGCAAGATTGCTTCCACAATCTAGCCCGAGAGCCTCTCCTGGTTCCTCCTCTCGCAATGGTCCTTCCACTGGGAATTTTTCACGCGGCAACTCTCACCGTTCTGGGACTCAGTTTAAACCTCCTGTTCATTGCACTGCTGCTGTTGCCTCCGAGGATTTACCTTCCTCTGTCCCTATAGACCCTTCCACTCCAGTCTTCTCTCAAACAGATGTCGAAGCCATGTTCCAACAATTTCTTTCCACTTTCGGTACTCCTCCATCTACTGCTTTGTCTGTCACCTCAGGTAACACTTCCTGGTACTTTGACTCCGCTTGTTGTAATCACATGACCTTTGACCCTACTATTTTTACTACTCTCTCTTCTAATCCTCATGTTCCTTCTATCCATACTGCTAATGGTTCTCTTCTGTCTGTAAGTCATGTTGGTTCTGTTTCCACCTCTCACTTATTTTTATCCCATGTCTATCTTATGTCTACTCTTACTTTAAATCTTATCTCCATTAGTCAATTATGTGAGCATGGTCTAACTGTTACCTTTTCCCATACTGGTTGTTTGGTGTAGAACCCTCGGACGGGGCGGACTCTTGGGATAGGCCGTAAGCATGGACGTCTCTATGAACGTATCCGTCTTCATGTTCCGGATTCTTCTCAGATCGCAGCTCCTACCACTGTTCCTCTTTTGTCTCCTTTTCAGCTTTGGCACTGTCGTTTAGGCCATCTTTCTGTTGGTCGGTTAAAGTCTTTAATTTCTAGTGGTCATTTAGGTCCTGTCAATTCTGATACTTTAGATTGTTTGTCATGTCAACTTGCCAAACAACATGCTTTATCGTTTAATAAAAGTGACTAAGTTTCTCTTGCTCCATTTGATCTCATCTATTCTTATATTTGGAGCCCCTCTCCTACTCCTACTATGGGAGGCACACGCTATTTTGTTGTTTTTATAGATGATTTTTCCCGTTTTACATGGTTGTTTCTTATAAAAAATCGCTCTGAGCTCAAACAACTTTATTACAATTTTGCTGCAATGGTTAAAACCCAATTTTCTAAAATTATTAAGCTTTTTCGCTCCAACAATGCCATAGAATATAAAGATTTTGATTTTCTTTCCTTCCTTCAGAGTCATGGTACTCAACCTCATCGTTTCTGTCCAGGTATGTCTCAACAAAATGGACGTGCTGAACGGAACCATCGGCATATTCTCGACACTACTCCAGCTCTCCTTCTCTCTTCCTCTTGTCCGGAAAATTTTTGGGGAGAAGCACCTCTCACTGCTGCTTACACTATCAATTGTATCCCTACACCTGTCATTCATAATCACACTCCCTATGAGTGTTTGCATGGCACCCGCCCCCCTTATACCAATTTAGGGTCTTTGGATTTGCCTATTTTATTCTTCTCCAACCTCATGAACGTACCAAACTTGAATCTCGTTGCCACCTTTGTTGCTTCTTGGGGTATGATATTGAACATAAGGGGTATCGTTGTTGGGATCCTCTCTCCCAGCGCCTCCGTATCTCTCGTCATGTGGTCTTTTGGGATTACAAAATGTTTTTCTTTCTCTCTCTATCTCTCTCTCTCTTCCGCTTGTTTGCTCTCTCACCCTCTCTGTTTTTTACTAACCCTTCCATAGATCTGTTTTCTGATGAGCTTGCTTCATTGCTCCTGCCAGCCTCTCTCGAGACCACCTTGCCTACTGGTCTTTCCCACGAGACTGCTCGCTCTGATGGTCCTGCTCTTGTTCCCTTGGGATCCTCACCTCCTGTTGAGTCTCTTCCTTTGGCTTCTCAACCTCTACACGACCACACCGAGTAACCCAACCTTCTACTTGTCTTCGTGACTTTATTGTTGGTTGTACTGCTTTTTCTACTTATGAACCTACCTCCTATCGCGTGGCTTGCTCTAATCCTCTTTGACAGCATGCTATGACTGATGAATTGCAGACTTTAGACACAACTTATACTTGGGACATTGTTGATCTTCCCCTTGGCAAGATTGCCATTGGCTGCAAATGGATATACAAAATCAAGACTTGTTCTGATGGATCTATTGAGCGCTACAAAGCCCGCCTTGTTGCTAAAGGCTTCAACCAGGAATATGGTATTGACTATGAGGAGACTTTTGCTCCTGTTGCCCATCTCTCCTCTTGATTGCTGTTGCTACCACCCGACAATGGGATCTTTATCAACTGGACGTGAAAAATGCTTTCCTTAATGGTGTTCTTCTCAAGGAGGTCTACATGCAACCTTCCCCTGGGTCTACTTATCCACCTCATAAAGTCTGCAAATTTCAGCGTGCTTTATATGGTCTTAAACAAGCCCCGCGCGCTTGGTTTGCTAAGTTCAGCTCTACTATTCATGAATGTGGTTTCACCTCCAGTTCTTATGATACTGCTCTTTTTATACGGAAAGCAACTCAAGGGACCACCCTGCTTCTGCTTTATGTGGATGACATGATTATCACCGATGACGATATCGATGGTATTCTTCACCTTAAACAGTTTCTTAGCCATCATTTTGAGATGAAAGACCTTGGTCCTCACAGCTATTTCTTGGGTCTTGAAATCTTCCATGATTCCATGGGTTCTTTTCTCTCTCAGGCTAAGTATACCTCTGATCTTCTCACCTGCGCTGGTCTTACGGATTGCAAGACTGCCTCCACTCCCCTGGAGGCTCAGAGTCATCTTACATCTCTTGATGGCACTCTTTTCTCTGATGCTACCCTATATCGTCAGCTGGTTGGAAGTCTTGTCTATCTCACTGTTACCCGTTCTGATATTGCCTATGCCGTTCATATTGTCAGCCAGTTTATGTCAGCTCCTCGTACCCCTCATTATGTTGCATTAGTTCGTATTCTTCGCTATCTCAAAGGCGCCTTGTTTCATGGTCTTCATTATTCCGCCTGCTCCTCTCTATAACTTCATGCTTTCTCCGATGCTGATTGGGCTGGGGATCCTACTGACTGCCGCTCTACTACCGGGTTCTGCTTTTTTCTTGGGTGATTCTCTTATTTCTTGGCGCAGCAAGAAACAATCTCTTACTGCTCGTTCCAATACCGAGGCCGAATACCGTGCTCTTGCTGATACTACTCAGGAGCTTCTTTGGCTTCGTTGTCTTCTTGCTGACATGGGTGTTACCCCCTCTGGCGCTACTGCCCTCTTTTGTGACAATCAAAGTGCTCTTCAAATTGCTCACATTGATGTTTTTCATGATCGCACCAAGCACATTGAGATTGACTGCCATTTTATTCGTCAACACGTCACTCGTGGTACTGTCCATCTCCATCCGATCTCTTCTGCTGATCAACCTGCTGATATCTTCACCAAAGCTCATTCTCCTGGCCGCTTCGTTGAACTTGTCTCCAAACTTCAGTTGGCTGATGTTTGTCCTCCTTGAGTTTGAGGGGGACCGTTAATATATTAATGTATATAGAATACAGATCATGTTAATATACTAATGTATATAGAATACAGCTAAGATAGGATTTAGCTTTCGGTCCCTTTTCATAATTATGTTTTGTCAAATGATGATGTTTGTAACACAGAAGCTCCTATATAATGGAGACCCTCTATATGGTTTCAGATATATAGAAATACAGAGATTTCGCTCTTTCTATCCCTCTCTCAACTTATTTTACAGCTTTATTTATTTACTGTTCTGCGGATCTAAATTTGTTTATGCGATGAGAGCATTATTTATTTAATAATCCATGAATGATTGCAGCGGCGTCTTCTCAATTTTATTGGAAAAGCTCTTGTAGAAGATGTCATTCCAATTCTTGCTGTTGCCTTTCATTGTCAATCAAATCCGCTTGTCACTCAGTGTGTCCACAGACTAGCAAGATCAGATCTTGACAGCATCTCTCTTGAGAAAGCGCTCCCCTTTGAAGTTGCAGAGAATATAAAATTGCTTTGCCTCAAGTCTCAGACAGATGATGAAAGCGACACACCGATTGTGGACCCCTTACATGAAAAGAGCGTTAGACGAATGCACAAGGCATTAGACTCGGATGATGTTGAACTTGTGAAACTTCTACTGACTGAGTCTGATATCACTTTAGATGAAGCCTATGCTCTTCATTATGCTGCTGCCTACTGTGATCCAAAGGTTGTGTCTGAGGTGCTTGGTTTGGGTCTCGCTGATGTCAATCTTCAGAACGCTCAGGGTTACACAGTGCTTCATATCGCTGCAATGCGCAAGGAGCCATCAATTGTAGTATCACTTCTGACAAAAGGAGCTCGTGCATCAGACATGACATTGGATGGGCGGAGTGCTGTTAGCATTTGCCGGAGACTAACGAGGCCGAAGGATTATCATGCAAAAACGGAGCAGGGGCAGGAAGCAAACAAATACCGGATATGCATTGATGTTTTGGAGAGAGAGATGTGGAGGAATCCAATGGCTGGGGATGTATCAATAATGTCTTCTCCAACAATGGCTGATGATCTGCACATGAGGCTGCTATACCTAGAGAACCGAGGTAACATTCTCCAGATAGTAATCTTGAATTCTTCTTTACTTGATTTAAAAATAAATAGGAAAGAGAGAGACAGAGAGAAGTGGTCATATGTCTCATGTATGCTAGTCCTGTTATTTGAAATCTGCCAGAATGATTTATTCTGTAGGCTGCTGTAACTTTTTCTCGGGTGCTTACCTTAGGGGAATTTAAGGTTTGAGTGTGAAGGAGTTTGAGAAAATATTTTCTGGAATTTTTATTTATTTTTTCTTGCTTAGTGATCTTTAATAACCACATGTGGATACTTGCAAGGAACTTTAGCACTTCCTGTTCTTTTATAGATCAGAGCCGAGTATTGCTTTTGTATGTTTGTATATAAACAGTAGCATTCGCACGGTTGTTCTTCCCTACTGAGGCCAAGCTAGCCATGGAAAGTGCAAATGCTGAGAAAACATCTGAGTTTGCTGGTCTTCTGGCATCAAGAGGTTCAAGCGGGAACTTGAGGGAGGTAGATTTGAATGAGATACCTATAGTGCAGAACAAAAGGCTCCTCTCAAGGATGGAAGCTCTTTCAAACACAGGTATTTGGAAGATTTAAAATGTTTTTCTTCTCTTAATTCCCTGTCCCATCTCCAATGGTTATTCATTTTGAGTTGATTAAGCTGCACAATATCTGTCCATCCCTATTCCTTGGTGCCCAGAATGTCTTTCAAAGCTAGGTGATTAAGGGCCAAGTTTATTTTATGAGCTCCTGTGTTTTAACAATGCATCTTACCTCAGATGTGGTGATTCCTAGCAGTAGTTATTTATTGTGCCTTATAAGAAATAAATTAGAAGAATTTATGATGGGAATCATGAAGTCATTTATGACCTTTGTAATACAAGAATTTATTTTTCATAATTGCTTTTCCCTAAGCTTTGTAGTTGTCATGGTTGTGGCAGTGGTGATGGGTCGACGATATTTCCCTCATTGCTCAGAAGTGTTGGATAAGTTCATGGAGGATGACCTACCTGATTTGTTCTATCTCGAAAAGGGGAGTCCAGAGGAGCAGAAAGTTAAGAGGACGCGCTTCGTGGAGCTGAAGGAAGATGTTCAAAGAGCATTTAACAAGGACAAGGCCGAGCAACAACGCACTGGCTTGTCTACCCCCTCATCATCTGCATTTTCTTTGAAAAACAGTGTAAATCACAAAGTTAGAAAATCGTGATGATATATGTCAAGTGAAGAACAATAATGACCAGTTTTGAAGAAAGTTTAAGGTGAGAGGAGCCTTTTGAGTATGGGCTCTGCTTCTGTAATATATATACATACACACACATAGAATTTCCCATGTATCTTGAGGAGAACAAAGTTGCTCCATAAACAACCATGTATTTGCAAATGCAGTTTACATTTCAAGATTTATTGGGGAAAATCAGAAAGCAATGAATTTGGATATTGGGACTCTTTTCCAATATCAATATATTGTTATTGTGAAGGTTTGTTGCAAAAATGGTTTCTTTCAACTCTGTTTGAATTGTTTGAATTATGGATTTGAGTAAAAATTTATTTTAAAAAAAAGGAAAAACAATAAAAATAAAACCAAACCAAGCTTTAAAATCCCATCAAATGGGGTCGGTTACATGAATCTTTCTTCTCCACGCGGCCCTATCAAAGGCCATTTCATTAGTCAAATTAAGTAGATTCATATCTCTATTTATAACGCTAGTCAACGTTAATCTAGGCCTATCCCGTCCCCTAACACTTCCATCTACCGTTACAACATCGCATCTTTTCACTACTGCCTCTGTTGGTCTCCGTTGAATATGACCAAACCATCTCAAACGATTCTCTCTCAACTTATCTTCTATCGGTGCTACTCCTACCCATTCCCGAATACACTTATTCCTAATCCTGTCCTGTCTAGTCTTACCACATATCCACCTTAGCATCCTCATCTCAGTCACACTCATCTTATCTACATGATGCTTCTTGGTTGCCCAACACTCCGTCCCATACAACATAGCTGGTCTAATAGCCGTTCTATAAAACTTACCTTTTAGTCTAGTGGGTATTCGTTTATCGCACAATACCCCAGACGCACTTCTCTACTTACACCATCCCGCCTTAATCCTATGGGCCACATCTGCATGAATCTCTCCAGTTGTTTTGATAATAAAGTAGGATTCATTTTCATAAGGGATCCGAGCGACTTTTTTTACGTGTTGGCTGTCGGCTACCTAACACACAACCCTCCTCCTTAACCCGGGCTTGGGACCGGCGGAGTTGTTAACAACCCCGGCGGAGTTAAAAACAATAAAAATAAAAGCTATATTTTAATCATTTTCCCCTTATGTTTGGTATTTTCCAACAAAAAAGAGAGAGAAGGCATTGATCTAAAACTTATCCTTCCCTTTCATTGATTTGAGCAAATAAGCTTGATTAATTCCATTTTGTTACTATTTATACAAGTCAAAATAAATCAAATTTAAATTTTATTTATTATTTATTTTTCAAACATGATTGACTATAAAGCAAGTACAGCTATTAAAAGACACTTAAATTTTGAAACGATATGAATTGTGCTAATCAAACGAGTTAAGCTTATTTCTACTTAATACATTCAATACTGATAGCAGAAAACATCAAAATTGACTCTGGCACTGATGGGCAGTTATTATCAGTTTGTCTACAAACCTTCCTAATAATGAAAGAATCAAAACAACTTCTAATTCCTCGTGTATCTTTAACAATAATAGCTATCTAGTGTCCAGTCTATCACCATTTTGCAAAACTTGAACAAAAACCTTTTTGAGTCAAATAGGACCTCCACACACTTGTAGCCTTGGGAGATGCAGAACTTAATGGCTTTAAGGCAAGCTCTGTCTTCATCTACCATGGGAGATTGGGCAATTAATATTTCCATGGCTATCCAACACCCAAGCTATCCCAGCATATATTGAAACGCATCTTCCAAGCAACCATCCAGTAGAACCAGCAATGGAGAATCACATCTCAGCTTCTTTTGGGGAGTCCTTGCAACAAAAATGGGATTTGGCTTTATTCCCTGCTTTTGCTAGTCCTCGGACCAATCTGACAACATGAACAAAGAGCACCCCCCTTGCTTGGACTTGGCTGAGAAAGCAAAGCAAATTACTGTATCCAAAATGCACCTCTGCATATTTGATCAAAATAATTATATATATATAAATTAAATGCAGCACAGAATTTCATCTTAGCTTGAAGGCAACTATTTTTTTAAACTTTCCCACATTGCTGGACCTTCTGGATCTATATTTACAAAATACTTTACAAATCGTGCATCTGAACATGCAAGGATTGTACTCAAGGACAATGTTTGCTTTGCTGCACCTCTCTCCCTCAGCCACACATACATCGCAAATCTAAGGTTTATTCTGTCCATATCATAACACAAGTATGATGGAAATGCCACAACAGATTCCAGTGGGTAGTCCAGGCAGTTTCTCAAACAATGGATCTTCTTCTCAAGCACATCTTTGGTCTGGTTTAGCACAGACGGAGCTTGTTTGATCATATTTGCTACAACATTGCAGTCCAACCCGGCCTGTACCAGACAATCAAACCTCTCCTGTAACTGATCACCTCTGCCCCGGAAAAGTTTCAGAGCTTTTGTCATCTCGTCCGAGTTCTCAACATAACCTAATCTGCGCAAGAATGTTGTCTTCTTCAGAAAATTATGTTGGTTTTGAGAAGATAACTGTTCTATGCCCTTGGAAACTGATTTAGAAGCCAAACTGAAGAACTTCGAAGGATCTTCCTTTATAATTTGACATAAACTACCTTTCTCAACCTTCAAATTTTTCATTACAGTTTTGGGTTGTTGCAGAGTGCGTGAACTCAGCAGTTGCACGTTAGTAGCTATGATATTTGCGATGTCTCCAGTTTCCATTCCTATATCAAACAGAAAACACACAGCTTGCCATAGATTCTTGGCACACTTAACTGATAGAATTTGAGAATTTTGTAAGAACAAATAGTAAATTTCATTCATCTTGAGACCTAATTTGAGTAACATGCCAACCAATATATAGATTCTTTTCCCAGATCCTTCAAACAGTAACGCAGGATACGTTTTAAACAAAATCCCCATTTGTGTCTCACCATAACCAACTTCACCAAGAAAGCCAATTGTGTCGAGCATTCTGTTCCAATTGTAAGTGGTTTTGCCGGATATATACCCTCCAATCCAATCATTTCCAAATCCCAATGCTTTCAACTTCTCAAGAACTGCAACAAATTCATTGTTAACACCACCAACCAGAAGCGAAGGGCAACAACTAGCAAGCTTAATAACCGTGGATCTGGTCAATCCTAGTTCTTCGTAAGCCCTAAGTTTTGAAACCAATACCCCAGAGTCGTATCTGAATATCTCATTTGCTTCCTTGTATATCTTACCAATCTTAGTACGAGGAATCCCATAATTGCAAAGGACGTGGAAGTTCTCGAGCATGATTTCATCATCACTCAAAAACATCAAGCTCTGAGGAAGAAGAGATATGAGCTCGGATGGAGCCAAACCCAAGCTCTCCAGAAAGGGCTCAAACTCATTAATGGGATTGTATCGAAGGAATTTTGACAAAGCCCTTGACACATCTTGGTCATTTTCAACCTTGGAGAGCAAGCCGTGAAGAAAATGGGGTGAGTTCTTGCTAATGTGCTCTGCATCAGTGAAGTGGAAGCATCTAGTACAATGCAAGTAATCAAAGAGTGCATCTTGCGCCACGGACCGCGCAATACGAGAAATGCGGCTGGTAGGAAGAGGAAGGGGTGACTGAGTTGGGTCAGCAAGAGAGAGTTTGGGATTTTGGGCAGTCCTATGACTGCTAAAGCATCTAATTCTGAGAGGCGTGAAATGGATAGTACAAGGGTTTTCAGGAACAACAGAAGAGACAAACAAATGGCTGAATTGTTGGCAAATCATTTTAGAAACACGAATATAAGATTTCCTTTTACTGATTCTGCATATAAACATGGCAATTTATGGAGTGAGAGTGAAATGAACTGGGGGATATAAAACAAAAACCCGGAAATCTTTGAGGATTATTCATATAACACAACTACATAGATGAATTGAAAAGCAAAAAAAAAAAAAACGAAGAAATGTTTTGAAGTCAATGCAAGTATGAGAAACAATCGGATGAGTTTGGGGTTTCAGATACCTCTGATTTTATGGAACTCTCAACCTTTCTTTCTTCTTTTGATCGGACATAACAAAAATGATCAGTCTTTGAGAGCATCTGCGTCTAGCGTAACTCAGAGAGAGAGAGAGAGAGAGAGAGAGAGAGAGATTTCCGGCTAAAACCCTACGAGGGGAGGGTTTACTTTATTTATAGCCTGAACAGTGATCTAACCAAGTTTGTTCAGCCGATTAGATTTGTTTAGCCGATTAAGGTGGAAGACAATATTAGTAAGAGGATGGTTAATAAAGAAATTATTAATGTACAAATAACGAGTGGGATAATTAAGAAAAAATGTATTTATTTTGAGAAAAAGGAGTTGAATCTTACTTTTGGAGATCTCATGACCTTAAAATAATCTGAATCGTTCACATATTTTTTTTTTCTTTTTATTTTTTAGCTTGAATGGTCTAAATCATTTTCTTATCTCTAAATTTGAAAGTCTCAATCATTATTAATATTTTAATAATAGTATTAGAGACAATTAATGATAAAATTATTAAATTTTTTTTATATAAAATAAATTAAAAAATTATTTCTTTATTAAAAAATATTAAAACAAATATTAAAATAAATAAATATATTTAGTAAAATAAATAAAATTAAATCATTTATTAAAATTAAATAAATATTCTTATATAAAATAAATTTAAATCATTTATTATTTTTCTAATCTCATTTAAAATATATCCACTTTAATCCACCCACAAAGTGTAAGTAGTAATCCACTTGGAATCTTAATCCTCCAATGTATTCCCAAACCACAAATGTTATTAGTGGACCCACCTCATAGACAATCCATTCATATCCTTTACCCTGCCAAACAAAGTCCTTGGAGTGAAACGCCCTCAGTCCAACGCGTGACTTACTGAGATTGAAAGATATCAAAACCATGTCGTTTTATGGAAGGGAACAAAAAAGAGATGGAAAAAAATAAAATAAATTACATTCGCGATCCCTATAATTTGAGTCTTGTGTTATTGTGATCTTTGACTTTTTAATTGTGACACATTTGATTCTGAATTTTAAATCTTATTTCAAATAAAGACAATTAAAAATACTATTATTCAATTTTAAGGACAGAATTATCAATTTGATAAAATATAAACTAATTTGATAAAAGTAAATATAAAAAAAAAATTAGATAGCGTTTGGTAGAATTTTCTAAATATGATTTAAAAATAAAGTTGTATTTTGAGTTTGTGAGTTTTGAATTATGATTTGAGTGTAGAAAATTTGTTTAGTTATGATTTTTGAATTGAGT